ACAAGATTTTTGATGGCCTTGAGATTTGTTCTCAAGAGGTTGTTTATTGAAATGACATCTGGCATTTTGGTTTGGATCAGTTTATAGCTTAAATATAATGTCATGTGGTAAAAAAGTAAGTACGTGGAGCTATAAAATTGATTAATTTGAATTTCTGAGACTTTCAGGCTCTTCTGAAAATATTTTCCAGAGAGAATTTTGACAGAAACTGGCAGTTGTTTGGGTTACAAGAAAATGAACTTTCTATGACATTGAATTTAATTTAAAAAATGCAGCTGGGTAAATTTTCCTACCTAAGAATTTTAACTGTTGTTATTTTTTCAGTATTTTGGCCTAGTCAAAGATAATTTTTTTTTCTTTTGCATAAAAATGAGGCCAAGTTAGGTTTAAAAACATCTCTCTCAAAGCATCACTTTAAAGCATCTTATTAACATTATTCTAAAAACTAAAAAAAAAGGAAGAAAATTAAATTCATACTTAATAAGACAAAAATCCTGTCTGAGTAAAATATTAAAATGTTAGAGCTAAAACATAGTTATCTAGTTGGAGCCCTGGTGACTCAGTGGATAAGAGCTCAGCTGCTAACCAGAAGGTTGGCAGTTCGAATCCACCAGCTACTCCTTGGAAACCCTATGGGGCAGTTCTGTTTTGTCCTGTAGGGTCTCTGTGAGTCAGAATCGACTTGACGGCAATGAGTTTTGGTTTTAATGCATCCAGTACATTGAACAGGTTTTGAGATGTGATTGGAAAACATATTTGACTTGTTCAATCCCTTTAAATATATAATCACTGGAGTATGTCCTGGAAGAAAACTCTAATTATTCTATGCTTTTATGATAACATGTACTTACTAAATTATCCTTTGGTTAATTTAAGTTACAAACACTGCCTCTGTTTAGTCTTAGAATGTTCCACGTGATATAACACCCCTGATTTTAAATTAAACCTCTCTACTCCTCCAGTTACACATCCAGAAAGATGTGGCAGTCAGTTTCCATAAAGATTACAGCCTGTGGGGCAGTTCTACTCTGTCCTAGAGTCGCTATGAGTTGGAATTGACTTGACAGCGATGGGTTTGGTTTTTTGGTTTAGTCCTCCAGCGGGGGGCCTTTGGCAAGCGGGAAGCTAGAGAAGGGATCTATGGGGCCTTTGTCTCTCTTTCTGAGCACCAACTCCACCAATCTTCTGACTCCAAAGTCTGGAGTGGAGACAGGCTTCCCAGAGAGG